CAATTATTATAAAATTTTTCTCGAATAAATAAAGTTCAGATAAATGCACGTAAATTCCATAGATAAACGTCGAATTACTAGTATTAAATATAAATATTATTAGTATTAAATATACGTACATTGAATATAAATCATATTAAATTGAATTTGAAAGGTAATTGAATTTTTTATTCGATTCGCAGGTGATGGAGCCCTACTATCCCTTCAAGAACGGCTCGGTGGAGGATTTTACGATCGGCAGCGAGAACTGCGACAACAAGATCGGTTATTGCAACGGGCCGTTGAAGTCCGGATCCACCTACAAAGTAAAAGTTCGAGCGTTCACCGCGCCCGACAAATTCACGGACACTAGCTACAGTTTCCCGATTCAAACAGGTGAGAACGATCGTGTTGAAGAGCCAGTTGCGAACGATCATCCGACTCACTGAAATGCTAGGAAATTCTTTTGACTTACGGGACGAGAACATGAATTTGAACGACGTGAATTTTTTCCAACACTTCGAAAGGATTTCCCATTCTTTGTTGAAACAAGCGTTTCTCTTTTGCTTTGTTTCGCGTATTCAGGATACTTGGTACATATAAAACGTTTCTTCAGAAACCTTGTTTTTTTGGAAAAAAGAAATTTTTTTTTTTTTTCAAATGACTATCAGATACCCCTTTGCTTGGAATATTATTTGTTATTGTGTGAAGAAAAGTTCTGAATTAAAATTCGTGTTCTTTCTCTTTCTAAATTCAACATTTAGAGTAAAAACTATCTTGCTAAATTCATGCCTCGTTATTTCGTGTACATGTCTGCTCAAGGATTGCTGCTGGCAGGTAAAATTAACAACAAATAAATTCACGAATAAAGTTAACGTAACAAACAAACTTACTATATGTTATTAATTAAAAATATGATGGAAATTCCTTATATTAATTATTAATACTTGTTCGTTATCCAATGGCACATATTTCTAATAACTTTCGATCTTCAAACGACTCAATACATTTGATTATTTTCAATATAAATCACATTGATATAATTGTTTCTATATATAAGTTTATAGTTTTAATGCAACGATGATGAATTTTATATCTGAGGCCTAAAAAAAAAAATATTTAATAAGTGTTTTTAATTGTAGTCTTGTTATATTCGTAACAGATAAGGACAATACGGCTATCATGGTTGGAGTCATAGTTCCAATAGTATTCTTGTTAACTTTATTGGGCATCGGGCTACTGGTCAGACGGAGAAGAAGTCAAGGACGTAAAACGACTGAAACAAGGACCACTGACAACTTATCTTTACCGGACAGCGTGATTGATACTAGGTAAATATGACAAATTTTGTTTAAATGAAATTATTAATTCGCAAACTACATTGTATTTATATTGTGCTGTAAGCAAAGATTTCTACTGTAACAATTGATTTCGTAATTTTGTATAAATTAAATTGATTTTATAATTTAATAAATTAAAATTTAAAGAAAGAATTACGATCTGCAATTAATAAAATATCACAGTGAATGATTCCTTGATTGGACAGTGCTTGTATAGAAATTAGAGGAAATAGAGTGGTATTAGTTTAAAGTTATTCTGGATTTCTTTTTTTATTAAATTTAATTTCTGGATTCTAACTAATTGTGTGTCTTGAACTTTCTGTCACAGTCGACCAATTAAAATAGAAGATTTTTCGGAACATTATCGCACGATGTCGGCGGACTCGGACTTCCGTTTCTCGGAAGAGTTTGAAGAACTGAAGCATGTTGGAAGAGATCAACCTTGCACAGCCGCTGATTTACCGTGCAACAGACCGAAGAATCGTTTCACAAATATCCTGCCCTACGACCACAGCAGATTTAAGTTACAGCCTGTAGATGACGAAGAGGGTTCTGACTATATCAACGCCAATTATGTTCCTGTAAGCTTGAACTTCCCTATCGTTTGTACGATTGAGACGTTATCAATCAAAATATATCTTATTGAAAATACAATGCAACTGTTCTTATAAATGTTATCAATATGATTCTCATCCAACTAATTTTTATTCATTTCGTATTTTATTGTATTTTGTATTTTAGTTATTTTCTGTTTTATTATTTATAATATTATTTAACCACTGCACTGTTTGTAGGTCTATGTTACTCTTCGATTATTTTAATAATCAACGTGCAAAGAAAAAAAAAAAAAAAAAAAAGACTGAAACCAGATTCCAATTTTGTAGTTTTAATACTATAAATGCAACAGCACCACGTGAAGAAAAGAATTTCAAAAAATGTTATATCTTACATCACAGGGTCACAATTCTCCAAGAGAATTCATCGTCACACAAGGACCTTTGCATTCGACACGCGACGATTTCTGGAGGATGGTCTGGGAAAGCAATAGCAGAGCCATTGTTATGCTAACAAGGTGTATTGAAAAGGGCAGGGAAAAGTGTGACCATTATTGGCCCATGGATACCCATCCTGTTTATTACGGGGACATTTGCGTGACGATACTAAACGAAACGCATTACCCCGATTGGAGTATCACGGAATTCATGTTGTGCAGGGTAAGGAAATTTTCCTATTACTGTATTCTATATAAAGATATAGAAGAAAATAGATGTCACTATCTTTGATCTCTCGAAAGAACATAGCTTCGCGAAAAATTTGACCAGTAATATATACATAAACTGGATTTAGAAGAAAATGTCACAAATGGTCAACGAAAGCTTAAGAAAGATTTCGTCAACGAAACATTTCTTCGACACACAGGGAGACGTGAAGAGAATCATTCAACACTTTCATTTCACAACGTGGCCGGACTTCGGTGTGCCAAATCCGCCTCAAACGTTGGCTAGATTCGTTCGAGCGTTCAGAGAGAAAGTCAGACCGGACCAGAGGCCGATCGTCGTTCATTGTAGCGCTGGTGTTGGCCGCAGCGGTACGTTTATCACATTGGACAGAATACTTCAACAGATCTTGGTGTCGAAGTACGTCGACATCTTTGGAATAGTCTGGGCAATGAGGAAGGAGCGTGTCTGGATGGTGCAGACGGAGCAGCAATACATCTGCATACATCAATGTCTTCTGGCTGTGCTCGAAGGCCAGGACATGACTGGACCGCCGCGCGAGATCCACGACAATCAAGGATTCGAAGGTGAGCTTTCCATCGTCAATGTGGCCGCTTTCAGAATTTGATAATTTCGAGAGAACAAGCAAGGGATGTGCGCGTATTAAAAATTTTCCTACGTTCGTTTCTTACGTGGACAATAATTATAAATCGAAAGAAGCTGTAGCTCGTGTCTGTTTTATTTTTTTTCTTTTTTTAGATGTGATATTTTTATGCTAAATTTTTTTATGCTAAATATTATACCTGGCACATGGATTTTGTATAAATGAAGTTTATTGAAATATAATGCAAGTTCACTGATTCGTTCTACTGTCTTATAGTTTATAACATGTTCAATACAGCTGTATAATGATTTCATATCCCATGTGAAATGAATTTTCTCATTTATTATCCACGTAAATATTTTAACTTTAATACTCGCACATTCCTAACGATATAATATACTTCGAGCTTCAAGTATGTCAAATAAAAAATATAGTCTGAGAAAAACTGTTCTTTAGAATAGAAATTCACCTCAAACATTCTTAAATTAAAAAAAGAAATATTATTTTTATAATTGACAAATAAATCTTACAGTAAAATTAGAAGTACGGAATATTTTTAATATAAATAAATAAATGTATATATATACTTTAAGCTCAGGTATATTCTATCCTAAAGCATCGCGACTAAGCGTACAGAAAAGAAATTCATTAAAGCCTCACTTTCGATATTTACTTTGTTACTTTGTTGAATAATCAATTTGCATTTTTCTCTTTTGTGTGAGTCCAATCGTTCAAAACAGAAAACAGTAGTGCATGAGTGATTCGAGGTTGATGAAACGTCTACCAAAAATCGAAATACATGATATATAATTTAAAAAACACCCGTATCAATAATATTGATTCTTTGTAATTTCAGTAATGTGTGTGATTATTACAATTATTGAAATTATACATAAACAATGAACGTATACACTGCTACTCATAAATATGTGGACATTTCATTTAATCGATTTGTACTGATAATGAAAGTACTCGAATGAATTAATAGTAACAACGATTAATTTTATCGATGATACTTGTTATCTTGTCGTGAAATCAAAAGGATTGTATCTCGTAGTAAGATACAAACGCAGATACACTGCAGATATTTCGTGTATTTTATAAATATTTATTTCTATATATTATACGCATTTTTGCATTTTGAATTATTAAAATTAAGCAAATGTCTACAAACTTTTGAGCAACAGTAGATATAGTGAATCACAGAAATATTCGCATTCTTCCAATATCGCTGGCTTTGAACGATTAAAAATGTATCGAGATTTCGATCAATGATGACATATTTTGAAACAAGTAAAGTAATTTGGATTATCATTCGTAAAAACTTTGTAAAAAAATATGGATCATTTAATGTTGGCAACTCCAACTAAAAAAAAAAAGCAATTAAAAAGTATGAAAAATTTTTTCAAGTTACAAAGAAAATTTTCTTTTTAACGAGATAGTATGCATAATAAAAAAAAGTGTAAAAAGTGAAGCTACGTCTTTTTTGCTGCCAATCCTTCAATTGGAAAATAGTGATACGAATACTTCTGTGATTCACTATATATACACTATCGTGTACAAGTATTTGGACAGTACTAAATTATCGAAAATATATAAAATAGAATTTAAGTGAATCTGTTTCATTGAATCGTAACGTATACAATTAATATAAATCAATATAAATTAGTAAAAATTGAAGATGGCTCAAAATTAATTTTTGATAGGGCAGTGATACCTTAACCAAGACTTTGTGTATCTGTTCAAATTTTGAGATATTACAAAAATCGAAATGTGTATTTTCAGTAAAAAAGCTTATAAATTGTCAATTATTCATTTGAAACGAATATGGGATTTGAATGACAGAGGTATACTCCTTGTTTCAGATTAAATTTAGTACATTATTTAATCTCTATTCAAATTACAACAAATCATAGTCATGGAAACGAAACAGAAGCAACAACCTTTCGACGAATTGGAATTACATTAAACGTCCAATTATTTACACACGACAGTGTATTCTAAGAAAAATATTTTACCAGTGCATTTAACGAATTAAAAAAAAAAGAAAACAGAAGAATAAATTCTTAACAATTCAAGTATGAATCGTGCAAAGTCTGGTGATGGTGATGGTAAATGGTAGTAATGGTTCTTGGATTTATATTGGCTCCTTAAAAAAAAAAAAAAAATTAAAAAAAGAAAGGGTACAGTGCCGGTTTTGTGTCACGTGCAAAAAGTGTTGCTTTTGGTAAATTGTATCACGTATCCGTACGTAGTGAAATCACTTCCCTTCTCCAACCTCGTGATCCCTTTGAATCCAGGCAAGAATCGAAGCTCCGTTGAAAACACAAAGAGCCCCGCCGAGGATGAAAAGGAGAGGTGACCCTCGAACTGCGATTCCGGAGTCGATGGTAATTTTGATCCTCGCTTACTTCGTTTTCGGCCTGTTTTTCTATTACTTTCCGCTCTGTTTCGGTTCGTACAGTTCACTGCATGCTCATGGTACAACTACAGTTTTCACGAAAAATGCACGCGGCATGAGAGCCTAATTGATAGAAAGTAACACATAAACGCTTTGTAATGTACAGGCAGCAGTAGGAAGTATGTTATTTGTTTCGTGTTGATCGAAGAATAAATTTTGCTTTTGTACATAAGTAGCAGTGAAGAGGAGCCTGAGTTTGCGGGGTAATGATCATTTTATATTTATTTTATATTCTACATTTGCAATTTAATACGCAATGATCCTGTAATTGATTATCACTTGACATTCTGATTATTTCTGTTTTAATTAAATAACTTTATCTCTTCGTGGAATACGACTGTTACAATTCTTAAGAAATAATTCCTTCGCGAGTGTCACGTTCATGTTAATTTCATTTTAATCGAAATATCAATGTATTTCGGCATAAATTTATAGGGAAAGCATGTAATGAGAGTTCTTCTTCGTATCTCGTTAAGCTTTGTTCAGAAAAATTGCATCTGCTGTTTTAATCTCTATGATAATTTGTGAATCTGAATAATAGAAATAACAAAATTCTTACTTGTACATTCAATTTTGTTGTTATCTCTTCGCAGATAACAGTTTGGAGGACTTGAGGAGTAAAATATATAATCCAGTTTTCCTACGTAATTTTTAATTTAATTCCTTTTGATTGCTTACGTGATTTCATCTCAACATATTTGAAGCTTTCGTCTTTTTTTTTTTTTCATCTTGGATTTGCAATTTTATCTTATCTTCTTCTTCAAGGTTAATTATTTGATTAGAGACAAAATTTGGATGTATATTTCATTGGAATTGTTGAATTTGTTGAAACATCCATAAGAAAGAATTAAATATTTCCAGTAATGTGAATTCTTTCCAAAGGATAAACTATAAAATCTAACGACAATAGTCAGAATTTAATTTTATCAATAATTAAAAAAGCATTTAAAAAGAAATTCAGTTTTTACAAAATCTATTCAATATCGTATATTCTACAAATAAATGAAATGAAACTTGTTTTTTTTTTTTTTTTAATTTTCAATCACTATATACAGGGTATTTCTAATCTGGTGGAATAACCAGAAAGAATGTGAAAATAGAAAAATCAGAAAGAAAGATTTTTTTCATTTACAGCTTCTCTTCCCATAAAATCGAATTATATCGGAAAATATATTAGTCCAGAATCAGCCAAATTTAAATATACGTATCTGTGTAACAAATTTTTTTGCCGAGAATGAGACTTTAGGTTTACAAAATCAAAGAATTATCAGATCATTAAAAAGGAAATTAAAATATTTTATTTCTTCACAATAGAAATAAATCGTTCCATTGGATGGAAAACACCCTGCATAATTATCATTTCGAAATACTTATACGTAACTATCAAATTGCAATGGAAGAAAGAAATTAATTATTATTCTTTATTCATGTTTTCTGCATTTAATCGAACAACTTCCTTAGTTCCTTTCAATAATATCTCAAGTCGCATGATTTCCCCACCAAATCCGAGCAGCCGAAATTTCATTAGAAATCCTCATCCCTGTTCTCGTTTGTTTTTCCAGACGACGAAGGAATAGCAGAGTCAGGAATGTGATGTTCGAATACCTCGTTTCGTTCAGTGATCGACGAACACAAGGATGTTCTGGAAGTATTTTGAGGAGGTGCGGCGCACCGTTATTGGGAATAGCATGACGACGCGATAACACGCTTCGGATCCTGAAGCTGGGGACGAAAGTGGAAAATGCAAAAGCCAAGAGATTGTTCAACGAACGGAACAATATGCGACGATATTTCTCGATAATCGATTATCGTCGATGGTACCGTTCATTCGGTAATGTAAAACCAGCAGGTGCTTCTGAACGGAAAGAAGACGACAAAAGCGACTCTAGTTAAAAAGTTAGCTCCGTTATGAAAGGAAGCATATACGTTCAAAGTAATGCGTCTTCATCTTTTCTTCTTTTTACCGACGACTCGCGAGTAAACGTGCGCGAAGGTGGAGATCAATCTCAATTTCACGGATGTGACGATGAGCGAAGTTTTGACAATTTTTCTCCGAGTCGTCTGGACAACGCACGAGTGGTAAACAAATGTCGACAATAAATAGAACGAGAGGAAATATCGCACTTAAAGCTGTGGCCATTTAAAGAGCTGCAATAAAAATTACGGATTCTTAAGGAATAGACTGTACGACAATTGAGTGACAACGCGAGAGCATTGCTACCCTGCCTTTCATTGATACTGTTACAAAATATAATATTGAACTTAAAATTAACATAAAATTGAACGCATATTAATATTTTATATTACAAAATACGTAATTGTTTTAATGACATTATTCAGAAATATGAAGTTTTTTGATATCAGGAAGTCTTGTAATAATTTCACTGCACGCGAGAATGTAACTTCTCAATGAAAATCTCGTTTATGTTACATTTACCACATACTGAGACGATTCGATATTGTATGTCAGAATGTCTCTATACACGACGAAATATCTGCAATCTGTGTTTACTGTTAATTCAATTTCGACCAAGATGTAACATGTATTGATGTAACGTTATTCGAGGTTTCTATTTAACACGTTCCATGTGTACCATGTGTACCACCGGTGGTACACGTTAAACTTAATCTTCAGGCCACGTGTA